ATCTCGCATAAACACTCCTCGAAAATGAGGAATACCATTCCCATATTTTAAAATGTCAAAGTTATTTAAGGGACGATTAGGTAGCCGATACTTTAGTTTTTTTGTTTCGATACATAAATATTTAGTCCATCTTTATGAGGTTTAAGATGTAATCCTTTTCCAATGCAAAGAGCTTCCATTTTTTCGTTGTGTCTCTTCAATTCCGCAAAATGCTTTTTAGCAATCTTGAATTCATTAATAGTCTTAGCAATACCAGCTGCACCACCTGTTAATGCTCCTACCGCTGATAATCCCGCAAAAATAGGAATTAAAGGTAATACTCCACCAGTTTTTGGTATAGGAATAACGCGAGGAAGTGTAATAGATGAATCATCAATCATTTCTCTAGCAGCAGCCATAGCTAATTCAATTGCCATTTTCTTGCCTTTTGGCTTTAATTTTTGGAGGTGTTTTTTTGTTTTAGAAATAAAATTTTTAAATTTATTTTTTACGTTGAAATAAATTTTTCTTGAAGTGTTTTTTTTACGATCATTATTTAAACCAGTTCCAGTTTTAATTTTAGCTAACATAGCTTTATTCACCACATGAGCTGCTATCTTCTCACTTACACTCGCATCAGAAGCATTTGCGCGTGCTTTTGCCATTTTTAATATAAACTAAATCTGCTTTGTGTCTTTCTTTCATTTGTTGATGATCTATGATAAGCAATATCGTGGTCTTTGCAATATTCGTCTAATTTATTATACCTTTATCACCACGTATAAGTCTCTTAATTAATTTGGTTCCAGGTCCACAATAATTGTATCCAGGTAGATGTAATTCAAATGGTAAATTATTTATAAACCAGTTGAGAAGACTAGTCTCTCCTAAGTACATAATAATACTGATTAATTGTGGTTGTAACGATTAATTATATGTTCTATTACAATATATTCGACTTATCTATCCAGCTATTTTCGGTAGGGGGCAAACCAAGCCATTTACTAATACCTTGTTTCCTTTCCTCCTCAGAACTTTTTCAACTAAGTATACATTAGGATGTTTTGTTTTTTGAAGTTCTTGTGTATAAAATGCTCCTAAAAAGGTTGACCTCTGATTGTATCTTCGATTAAATAAGTGATGGGAGCCGTGTTTTGTATTTTTCTAATTTTAAATACTTCTGTCGACCAATTAGGAGTATATCCCTTTTCGAATGTTCCTTTGTACTTACTGATCCGTACATAGTCACCCACTCTGAACATACTCTTTGTATTATTTTTTTTTATCGACATTAGATGTCTTTTTAATATACGTGTTTTATTAGTATTATTAACCTTTGCGGGAATTTCATCAATTGTTCGATGTTTGGTGTGGTTATATTTATATGTGACGTCATTGAGAATATCATTTATCCAATTATAATTACCCTGTAAACTAAATGCTTTGTATAATTCGGACTTCAATGTTCTGTTAAATCGTTCAACTATTGAAGCTTTTTTTGTCGAAAAAGTTGAATAATGATTAATATTATTTGATTTTATAAGACTTTGAAATTTACTATTATAAAATTCTGTTCCGTTATCAGTTTGTACATTTTTAGGAACACGTCCTTTATCCAACAAATTTTTAAATGCATCATATACAACGTCTTTATTTTTACTTTTTAAGGGATATGTCCAAGCATACTTCGAAAACGTGTCAATAACAGAAAGAATAAATCTAAAGCCATTATTTTGTTTAGAAACTGATTGCATATCAATTAAATCCGCTTGCCACAGATCATCTATATCTTTCATAATAACCCTTCTACGCGGGAAATTCACCCTCGCAATTCTATGAATTTCATTAACGACATCTTCTTTGCTCATATTAGTTTTCTATTATATAGATATTTTTCAATAATTTAAAGAACAAAAGTACCTTATGTGTTCTTAACAATCAGATATATGTGAAATAAATGAATTAATTTAATATTAATATTTTATCAATGCTGTGATAATAGTTGGTTACTGGGCAAGAATGATTCTTTAATACTAAAATAAAAGATATATAACACATCTATTTATTTATTTATTCCTTAATTACATGGGCTTCTTTCAATTCCTCAATTATTGATAAAATTTCATTATCGTGATTTGTATTACCAGCATCTTTTGAAGCTATTAACAATTTTAACCTTTCAACCAATTCATTAGGATCATCCCAATATACCAAATCAGTTTGTGTTCTATACTTCTTGAGTTTTGGCAAGCTACCTCCAAGTTTGGTTTGTTTTTTTTCATTTGAAGTAATAGAAAACAAAGGTTTGATTATATCTCGATATTTCGTTCCTTTATCACCTCTTATTTGACCTTCAGGATTAAAATCTCTCTTATGTGCGTTTGTTTCAAGTAATATGTTTTTATATACCACTTTATCTTCACTTGTTATTGACCTCAAATCTGGTTTTTTTCGAAGTAAAAGTTCTTTCAAACCTGGAGTTAAATTGTAAGTTTTGGTATCAATTTTTACCAATAACACATTATTATTATCCGCACTGTCAATTTTAGAAAATGATACTATTGAGTTGCCTATCATTAATTTTTTATTATCAGTTCTTATTCCAAATGGTACATTTAATCCGTCATAAATACCATAAACATCTTTACCCTCTAGTGACATCTCTAAATTTATATCTTTATTTTTAATAGGAGTTGCAATATTTAAATCAGCATCATGAAAATCATCACATTTAGTAGAGCAACTCGTAATACTTTCATCTGATTCGAATGATTCCGAATAAGTCATATTTTCCATTGGTTCCAAATTCGGAGATTTTTTTTTCAAATTCACTAAGGTTTGAAGAGGCTCCGAAACAGGTTTTAGTATTTTATCAAGCGATAAATTAATTTCATGTTCCTGGTTTTTCATTTGTTGTAATTTAGATTTTACTGCGTCAGCAGACTTAATCAACTGTAATTTAATTTTTTGCTCCATATTATTGCTGATTACTTTATTCAGCCAAAGAAATACGAATACTGATTTATTATTTACAAATTACCTTTATTTATATTATCTTCACTGAAAATAGAGATTCACTTTGTAAAAAACTGACGTAATCTAAAACTGTTATTTAGTTTGCTTTTTTATTTATTATTCAAAACTTATGAAGTTATCAAATGATTGTCTATATCTACCATTGTTTAAAACACAGTCTTTATTGATAGTCAAAAAATCGTACGGAGACAGCCATATTTTAGAACAAATGTTTTTGAACTTAGACCATTCCATATCAGAACTAACATGTTCATCATAAATATGCTTCAAGTTCAAATCATCCTGTTTGAAGATAACTAAAAAATTTACATTGTCACGTAGCAAGTGCTTCGGTACTTTTGCGTAAGTCTGAGATAAATAAAAGCAATCTATTCCTCTATGCCTTCCCATTGTATAATAATTCCGTATGTTCATTTGTTTTTCACCAGCCACATCATCAAATATTATTACTGAATTTGGTAAGGCATCATTAGGATGAATTACCTCTTCATTGGATTCAAAAGTGAAAAGTTTTACTTTTGGAACTCTTCCCAAGATTTGTTTTAGAAAACAATATTTTGGCTGTAGAGTTGTTTTGGAATATAAATAAACATTTTGAAACCTTAAACCGTTTTCATGTAACAACAAGCTTATCATGACATTAGTTTTTCCACAATTAGAAGGACCACATATTATACTGCGGATATTATTCGGAAGAAGTACGCTATGCTTTGGGTGTAGCGTATTCTCTTTTATATCAAAATTCCTAACTGCCAAGGATACAGGCTGTTTAATCCACTTCATCTTTATGTCTGTCATAAATTATATTTGTTCTTGGTATTTATATGCGAATGTGTGTACTTTATAATAATTTCATTATTAATTCATTATATATTTGAAAATGTGAACTGGAAAATAAAAAAAAAACTTTTAAAAAAAATAACAAAACTATATTTATTTATTTTTAGAAAAAAAAATTGGCAGTCAAACATCACGATAGAAAGCGGTCTTGAAACACTAATCTTTTTAGTCTGTGTAGAAAACTTGGTACCGCTGGTTGCATCAGTTTAGTGTTTAATTAATAAAAATACTTGCTAATTTGAATCGTAAGTATATAAACTTCATTTTCACGTTATTTAAGATTTTGTAAATGTGAATGATTAAAGTAGGTAATTTATATTTTTCAGAAGATGAGTGACCTGGATATTGTGGATGATGTTTTCAAGTCATACTATTTTACTCAAGGACTGCCTAAAAACAAGATGGAACAAGTCGAGTTCCATGAACATCAAAAGCATGATGAGAAAAGTGTAAACGAGAAAGCCAAAGAAAAGGATAGGAAGAAGTGTAAATTATCATCAAGAAAAACTGTATCCAAATGTTCTGTCATACCTTTTACATCTTACGTCATTCGTAACGAGCCAGAGAAAGCGCATCATTTAATTAAAATATGTGTTTATGATTTAAGCATTAATGAAAGTCCTTGTGTGGACGTTCAATATCAAGTTAAAGACAATCACGATGAAATTATGGATGAAACAGATTACCTAGTTAATAAAATAGTGAAAAAAATAAGTTCAACCTCATACGGCTGTTGAATGTTATTTGTTAAGTCTTTTTAAAATATAATAAGTATTATGTTTCTTAAGTATACCTATTTGAAGTTAAAATTTGAGTGTGAGTTAAATACATAGAATTTTTATAAAAATTTGTGTTTTATTCATCGAAGAAATTACGATTCAAAATAATATTATAAATGAATCAGTCTTCAATTTACTATAGTAAAAACAAATAATGAATTAGTGTTTCTTTTCTATTTTATCAGTAAATAAATCATAATAAGTAATAGGAAAGTATTTAGTACTTAATGAAAAAAACATGTTCATGATTAAAATATTATTTATTTTTTAAAACATACCTACAACTAAAAATTACAATATTATGTATTTGAAAATAACATTATACTATTATCTTACATATAAGCCTTAAAATATATGTATTTATGTCTAAAATATAGTATTACAATGACCCCATGGTAATGTATCTATTTGATTTAATAGTATCTGTCTCTTATCATCAGTTCTATTAATAACTATTTTATTTATTTCCTGAGAAAACAACATATGTTTTATAGATTTAATAGTGTTCATCTTGCATTTAAATGTACTGTCACTAAGTAGAGCTTTATTATAATTATATAATCGTAATCGCTTTGTGATTGACTTATTGACACCCTTGGCTTTTCTAGTTTCCCCATTTAAACTTTTTATACAGTATAGTTTAGCTCTAAGCCCAGTAAATTCTGTAATAATGTCACCCGCGAGCTCATCTTTAAATAGGCCTGGGATTTGTGCGTGGACTCTAGGCATTTCAAAACTATTGTTTACATCAAAATTACTGGTATCAAAATTTGAAATGTCTTGTTTCATATCTTGGTATAAATCTGGTGTTTTTATAAAATAAAGCAAACTATCAGTATCAGTATAACACAACCTTGCTTTGTTTTTATATTTGTTTTTTATATAATCATAGTGAAACTTATACAAATGCTGTTTTGCGTACTCTAAAACCGTAAAACCAATATATGGGTCTGTCGAGATTTAATTTTTCGGGGCTTAAATGAATACCTACAAAGTTTTTAGAAAATATTGTTATGTTTTTGAAGTTAGGTTTTGAAATTAAGTTTACAGCACTAAGATGTTTGTTTGTCTTATTGTTCTTGTCATTCCAAGTAGTAGCTAATTTAATATTTACCTGTTTTCGTCTATTTTCAATAGTTTTACCAAAAATCGCATTATTCATCAGTTTAAATAAGTTTTTTTCAAACGATGACGTTGATCTTTGACGTAAATGAGTATTCAAGTCAATGTATTCCTGTAAAAAGTTTTCTTGTCTAAATGTGAGTACACGGTGAATTTTTTTCAAAACAAGACCATTCTTTAAACATTCTTTTAAATGAACGTAATGTATGACATATTTGAATTTATCGTACAGGCTTGCAATTAATTTTGGAGTTTTACCATCTGGAGGAATAAACTTTTCTGGAGCAAAAGGTAAATCCTGGTGATGTTTATGTAAATGATCTGGGTAAGACAAATCGACTTCTAAAATATATCCATAATCTGAGTCATCCGGTTCATTGGTTATATTAATTGCATATATTTCAGCAGGTGACAAAAACCGGAAGTCAGATATTGGCAATTTTTTTGTCATCGCATATCCATATAAATTATTACAGTCGAGATATATCAAAAAAGTTGATTCCTGAGAGCCATCAAAATTCGGTAAGTATTTATTATTAGCCTTTGCATTACGAAGAGAACACTGAGCTAACCCTCCCCGTATCCCCTTTTCCAGTAATTCATAAATTTCTAAATCACTAATTAGCTCTAATTGGACCTTTGTATACAACATCATGGCATCCCAACTCAAGCTCGGTGCAGTGGTATAATAAGCTGGATCAAGATTATAATATCGTAAGCAAGTGTCTCTAAAATTTTCAAATATATCGCAAAGTAACAAAACATCAGTTTTTAAATATAAGTCTGTATACTCTCCAAGAGATTTTAATTTAAAACTTTGCCATATTTGTTTCGCGTGCTTGTAATCGTCATCGGTTATGTGTTCATATTTTAAACTATTATAAAAACATTCTTTCGGGGGTAAACAATTTTCATCATATTTTGAAAAAGAATCCATATAATCGTAAGGGTAAATACCCTTACGTTGCAATAATTTCAACAAGTCCGCGTCGTGAAATTCATCCGATAAATGTATGAACTCATCATCATTTAAATTTCTAGATAAGACATCCAAGCTTGAGTTAAGGAACTGGAGAGAATCGATAAATTTTATCTGTTTGGTTTGAATTATTTTAGTAAGAGATATATATTTTTCTTTAGTTTTCGGTATTATTTTAAAATAACCTTCATATTTTGCCAGTTCTTTGATGAAAAGATGACAGTCATAACCAGCCAAGTTATGAAAAACCACTGGCACAAATGAACAAACTCTGTGCATTATGTTACAATGAGAATGTGCAGCACCTCGGTATTGCGATGTCACATGATCATGATCTCTCACCTTATCATCAAATAATAGTTGTTTACATATGTAACACACGGTGGCGTTATTAAAGTTTTTTTCTTGATCTTTTGTTAAAGGTGACATAGGCAGCTCTTTTGATAATATATTATAAATCATTTCCATGTCGCTTAGCAAATATGTAACAAATTTTTCTACACAATCTGGACCTCTATACGTCACATATTTATTCAAACTGCGGTCGTGTGAGCAACAAATATAATAACCGAAACAAGAGGGTTGATGAGCTTTATATATTCGAGTATTCTCCGTTATAAGATCATTACGATTTAATAGAAGGCTTTCAAAGTCTGCATAAATAACAAAGTTTATTTTTTGTTGCTTTTCATAATTTTTAAACTGTAGAATAGTATTTTTACCCGGCAGTACTGTCCGTAGTTTATTACATATATGTGAGTTGTACTTCTTCGAGCTTGCAAAACATTGTAAACATAAATCACAAAAAAACATTTTACCTTTGTGATGAGTAATTTGCCGTTTCACTAGTCGTAAAAGGTCTTTGATTAAACAATAGTGACCTTTTCCATTTTTTTCAATATATAATAAATTTACATGATTACGCTTTCTTGATTTAGTGACATATAAAGGGCCAGTTACAATGTGTTTGCTATCTAAGCCATAAATATTCACACTTATGTCGGAATTTATTTTTTCGAAATGTCTAATATCTGGGTTTGATGGTGGAAACATCATATCACTTACATTTAGTACTGTAGAATAGTGTGGATATGATTTTGTTCTACAAACATTTCTCTTTTGTGGAAATAATGCTGCCACAATACTCCATAGGAAGCAATGATTATCATTGTTTTGTATGTTAATACAGCTTTTAGATCGTTTAAGTACATTTGGCAATTCTATATATGATCCACCTCTTAAAGGATTATATTTATTTACATTAATCTCCAGATGATTTATAAGGAGGCAAGACCAGCCAGATTCACGGTGTTGAAATTCAGATAGTTTTCTATTAAAAGTATTTATTAAATTTAAATATAGATCATTTATATCAGTACTATGATAAACTAATTCATATTTACTATTAAATGATTTCAGTTCATGTTCACCAGTTGATGGCAGAACAAAGTAAGCGAAAAGTTCAAAGTTCACTTTAATACAGTTATGTTTCTTAAGACAAACATTCAATAAATTCATTACATCTTTCTGATTATCTATTAAGAATACCTCTGGTGTGAGATACATCTCTGATGGATTAAGTCTGTAAGTTATTATTCTGTTTTTAAAAGCTGTAGCAATGATATCGATATTCTTAAATTCAGATTTCAGTATGCTATTCGATTTATGTAAATTAGTTCTTATATGATATTGATATTCGTTTTTCGGTATTTCAATTTGACAGTGAACACATTTCAATAAATTATTATTAGATCTGATGACAGAACTTGAAGGAACTGTAAGAAAAAAAAAACACAACACATTAATATTAGCGTATAATTATATTTATTTCATTTAGATAAGTGATACAAGAGTAAAGTAAAGTAAGAGAAGATTTGGATATATTCAATATGAGTAAATATGCGATTAAAATAATAATAATAACTACATGAATATAATTATGGATGTAGGGATATACACCTCCTACAAAAAGTATCTAATCCTATCACCTAATTAAAATCTAGATATGATATACCAAATCAGCAATTATTATTATTATTAAGTACATTTAATAATAATTGCTGATAAAATTCACTGGACAGTTCCTAAATTCCTTCCTCGTGGCAGTTATGAAGTTACTAAGATGTTGCCACGCTTCCGTGTTTTCGTCTGTTTTGTTTTTCACGCAAACAATAGCGTGGCGCCACCGATTCATAGGCGTCACCTTTTCAATTTCGTTGCAACTGTATACCTTTAGTTCAATATAGTGTGACCCTTTTTTGGTGTCACATGTTTGGCGAGAGTGCCCATTAGCAAGCCTTCGAGTCATATATGACTGCAACAACTGAATAGGTTTACCAGTAACAGGTTGATCCTGGTCTTCATCTTCGCTGTCGGTTCCGAAGATATCCCGGACCGTTGCTTTCTTCGGTGGGATAGGCTTGATAGCAGGTTTCTTGACTTTTACCGGTGGTGGTGATGTGACACGAGCGGGAGCTGGACTCTCCCTGGATGTACTCGGCGCAGATATTAATGACGACGAAGACGTATGTTTTCTCTTCTTCTGCTTCATTTTCTCCGGGTCAGGCCGCTGTTGCACTTCATCGTCTGATGGGAACAAAGCTTCAGCATTTCCACGTTGTGACGACCTGAAATAAAAAAAATATATTTATACCACATATATTTATGTTATACTTTAACATGTAATGTAAATACGAATGAAAGTACTGTGTACTGAAACACTATTATCGATTTTAATAAAAGAATAGACATGTTGATATTAATGAATTGAATCAGTGAAAACATGAATATGAAGTATACAAAACTAAACACTAGTTTTAATGTAATAATAATAATAATAACTGTTATTATTCATTTAATTATTAATTTATTAAATATGAGTGAAGCACTGTGCAGTTATAATAAATGAATAGATGTGGTTATCGAAAACTAAAACAAACTATTTTATTATAATATTATAATTAAAACTTACATTTTTATGCAGTGCCTTCGTTGTTGATACCAGCTCTGGGGATTAAGCAGTAATGCTCCAGATGCCCACGTACCGATTTAAATACCAATAAATTTACGTCACTTTAATCCTTATACGGAAAGTAAATTCGGATGAAAATCCTGAGTCAAATCTAAGACTCCAAAATGAGAAAAATGCTTACCTAGCATTGTTATTGTTAAGTTTGATTCTCAACATTAAACACATGTAATTAAGATTTTAACTTAAATTAGTACAGCTATTAGTAATCATAGGACTAGTTTCCTACTCCAACTTTACTTGTGATTTATCATCATGGTAAATGTACGATAACGTCTTCAGCAAACAAAAGTATATTCAGATCTTTATTATTAGTATATAATTATAGTAAACAAAATAGTGCAGGCGTCGGTCCGTCGGGAGAATCCTATTTCAACGAACCATATTTAGTCAAGTGTATTAAATGTCATAAATACGTTCAATTTTCAACCTTAGAAACTTGCAAATAAATATAATATAAATGTGGTGGAAAAATGAAAAAAGTAGCTATTATCAAATCAGGTGGGCAAGGCGTATAGGTACACTTTGATGTCGGTAAATATTATTCGGATCTTTTTTCTTAAATTGTATTAACATTGTCTTCTCAAATATATAATAAACTATAATTAATGATATTTATATTATGTATTTAATAATTCATTCATTCATTTCAGGATTCCGAAGATTTACTATTCAATTTCATCCCTATGGAAAATCTGCAAATGCAAAAAGACGTTAGCGATGGTGGAAATCGAAAGAGAAGCAATGATGAAACGTTATATAGTTATGTGAAGCGACCTGTCAAGGGTTCAAAAGTTATCCGTATCGAAATATACGATGCAAAAAGTTTTGAAGACCGTCAACAGAATATATGTAAATGCAAGGCTGATTTGTGCGTGCAACACGTCGTGAAAAATAATATGGATGTCATATATCAGTCGACTAAGGACCTCATATTCAAAATACAAGAAAATATGGAAAATATTTTTTAATTACTGTATACAGTGATTAAAATAAAAATTGATTTATAAAGGTTGTTTTGTTTTGGTTTCTAGTTGATTTGAATAGATAGTTTATTTGAAATTATGTAACAGTATTCGAATAAGATGGTTTATGTACTAGTTTTTGAAGTATCAATAGGTATATTTGTGTAAATAGATGATGTACTTGAAATGATGTAACAGTGTTCAAATAAATGGAATAATAGTTTTTGAAGTATCAAATTGTAATTAGTAGTGGTATTTGAATAAATAAAATTATATTATTTAAATGCATATCAGATTAAAAGTGGTATTTGAATAAATGAATTACATTATTTGAATAGATGTCTCATTTAAATTAATGTATAATTGGGGTGGATGGATCTCTTTTGATCCAGAAACCCCAATTATACACTACTACTGTCATGCGCAATGACTAGCAGTGACATGCTAATATGGACATGCACAATGACTAACAGTGACATACTAATATGGACATGCCCAATGACTAGTAGTGACATGCTAATATGGACATGCACAATGACTAACAGTGACATGCTAGCATGGTCATGCGCAATGGCTAACAGTGACATGCTAATATGAACATGCACAAAGACTAACAGTGACATACTAATATGGTCATGCACAATGACTAACAGTGACATGCTAATATGGTCATGCATAATGACTAACAGTGACATGCTAATATGGTCATGCATAATGACTAACAGTGACATACTAATATGGACATGCACAATGGCTAACAGTGACATGCTAATATGGTCATGCACAATGACTAGCAGTGACATGCTAATATGGACATGCACAATGGCTAACAGTGACACACTAATATGGACATGCGCAATGACTAACAGTGACTTGCTAATAAGGACATGCACAATGGCTAACAGTGACATGCTAATATGGACATGCACAATGACTAAGAGTGACATGCTAATATGGTCATGCATAATGACTAACAGTGACATACTAATATGGACATGCACAATGGCTAACAGTGACATGCTAATATGGTCATGCGCAATGATTAACAGTGACATGCTAATATGATCATACGCAATGACTAGCAGTGACATGCTAATAAGGTCATGCACAATGACTAGCAGTGACATGCTAATATGGACATGCACAATGGCTAACAGTGACATGCTAATATGGACATGCACAATGACTAACAGTGACATGCTAATATGGACATGCGCAATGACTAACAGTGACTTGCTAATAAGGACATGCACAATGGCTAACAGTGACATGCTAATATGGACATGCACAATGACTAAGAGTGACATGCTAATATGGTCATGCATAATGACTAACAGTGACATACTAATATGGACATGCACAATGGCTAACAGTGACATGCTAATATGGACATGCGCAATGGCTAACAGTGACATGCTAATATGATCATACGCAATGACTAGCAGTGACATGCTAATAAGGTCATGCATAATGACTAACAGTGACATACTAATATGGACATGCACAATGGCTAACAGTGACATGCTAATATGGTCATGCGCAATGATTATCAGTGACATGCTAATATGATCATACGCAATGACTAGCAGTGACATGCTAATAAGGTCATGCACAATGACTAGCAGTGACATGCTAATATGGACATGCACAATGACTAACAGTGACATACTATATGGTCATGCACAATGACTAACAGTGACATGCTAGAATGGACATGCACAATGACTAACAGTGACTTGCTAATAAGGACATGCACAATGGCTATCAGTGACATGCTAATATGGACATGCACAATGACTAACAGTGACATGCTAATATGGACATGCCCAATGGCTAACAGTGACATGCTAGAATGGACATGCACAATGACTAACAGTGACATACTATATGGTCATGCACAATGACTAACAGTGACATGCTAATATGGTCATGCACAATGGCTAACAGTGACATACTATATGGTCATGCGCAATGACTAACAGTGACTTGCTAATTAGGACATGCAGAATGGCTAACAGTGGCATGCTAATATGGACAAGCACAATGGCTAACAGTGGCATGCTAATATGGACATGCACAATGACTAACAGTGACATGCTAATATGGTCATGCGCAATGACTAACAGTGACATGCTAATATGGCCATGCGCAATGATTATCAGTGACATGCTAATATGATCATACGCAATGACTAGCAGTGACATGCTAATAAGGTCATGCACAATGACTAGCAGTGACATGCTAATATGGACATGCACAATGACTAACAGTGACTTGCTAATATGGACATGCGCAATGGCTAACAGTGACATGCTAATATGGACATGCACAATGACTAACAGTGACATGCTAATATGGACATGCACAATGACTAACAGTGACATACTAATATGGTCATGCACAATGGCTAACAGTGACATACTATATGGTCATGCGCAATGACTAACAGTGACTTGCTAATAAGGACATGCACAATGGCTAACAGTGACGTGCTAATATGGACATCCACAAAGACTAACAGTGAC